AGGAGGCTCTGCAGCCTCTCAGGTTACAGGAACAGGAGACGAGACACAAAGGGCAACTGAGCTCAGGTAGAGTCTGACCTGAACACAGAACAACAAGACTCCTGTTAGAGAGGGAGCGAGGAGACAGAGGATCTTGGAAGCTCTGGTTTTATGCCTGCTGCTAATTAGGAAAGAAGAACAGTGTGCAAACAACAGAAGGTGAAAAATTTAGGAGAAAATGAAAAAGTCCAGTTTTCAAATGCCAACAGCTGTGACTGTCACTGTAACTTGTATAATTAACAATGTCTTAACAAGCAGAGGAAAGTAAAAGTTCAGGCAGGTGACTGAATTAATTCCGAGAGGGTGAAACAACAAACAAATATTCCAACTACCTCTGTTTATGCCTGTACATTAAGCATGGCCTGAGGTGGACTTTCATCCTCCCTCACCGGCCGGGGTGCTGCACAACAGCAATACTACTGAATCGGCCTGTCATGTGGATCTCTAGCCCTTAATAATCATCCCTTTGACGTCTCTGAAGGTCAGACACATCATCAGCAGTGGAGAGATTAGAGACCACAGTTACACACATCCACAACCGTCACTGCCGGCTCTGACCTTCTTCATGACGCTGTTCTTCTGTCCACATGAGGTCAGATTATAACGTTGGTTCAGCTGATAAGGTTCCTAGCATCACCTAATGTCAGCTCTGCCTTCATTCTACGGCAGAAGCACAGACATGAACTCTTTCTGCTGTCCTCCCCTTTTGATTTATTATTATTGTTTTGTGTGCGTTTGTTTACATGTATGGTAGCTGTTAAACCGTTTATTGTCTTTTCACTATATTTCATGCTGGTATTATAAAATACCTCTCCAAATAATGGACAGTTTGGAGCTCTGAATGTTGTAGGTGGATAAAATGCTTTCAGACTGAAGTCATGATGTGGCAGGAATCATGTGGTTAAATCACAGAGCTCTGACCTTACAGCCAAATTATGAGCTGCACAATTGACTGGTAATAGAGTTGTTTGTGTTATAGTTCAGAGGATTTTCTGTCTAATAAATGTTAAATCTCTTCTAGTATATACACCATTCAATGAGTGAATATTCACCCAATATGAAATTATTGTGGCAAAAAAACAGAGAAGGGACTCTGCACATGAGAAATGGGTAAATATGTTGGCAGAATGTGGAAAATACAGTATATGAGGGAAGTGAAAGAGAAACCTATACAACATATGACACAGATATTATCATACTCCAGTGAGACTTCAAAGAAAGAAATTACAATTCATGTTGAAGAGTAAAAAAGAAATAGGAGCCTTCCTGCACTGTATATGGGAATGTACTGCTGACCCCCTTTTGGATCAAAGTCATAGAAGTCCTGAGTAACCGGCTTGCACGTGTTAAAAAACATGTATATTCCAATACTGGAGAGGCTCACCTCTCAGTCAGAGCCTTGCTCTGGTTGTCTCTGGCAGCCTGCAGGTCTCTCTCCAGACGCTTCTTCTCAGACTCCAGCTTCTCTGCATCGGTGGGCTCCAGACGCTGGCGGGGGCTGACGTACTGAAGCTCCTTCAGCAGCTCCTCCTTCTCATTAATGAGGATGAGGCGGTCTCTTTCGGGGTCCAGCAGCCCTGGCCACGCCTCGCTGTCCAGTTTGGCGATCTGCACCTCGATGGTGGCGATCCTGTGAAAGTGAAAAGCGTGAGTGTGCAGGACCAAAATGTGGAGCTAAAACAAAAGATGCTGAACTATGACAGCAGATAAAAGTAGACTGCTGTCATATTAATTTGCAATCCACGGTTTTGTCTTTACTCAGTAGATGAATCAGCCAACAAGTAGCTCACCAGCTGCGTTTGAGTTTTAGATTTTTTCAGTGTATGAGTATCAGTAGTTTAGTGGCAGCTGAGTCAGTCACAAAATCCACAGTAACCCAACTTTTTCATTAAATGATAAAACTAACTGACACAAGACCTAACAACATTAAACAGAATTTTGGAATTATAAAAGGAAACGTGCACTAAACAGATGCAACTTTTTTTTTTTTTACATGACTCCATATACAATAAACATAAACACAAACACAAGCAAACTACGTAACATGTACCTCCTCTTGGCTTCCTCATACTTCAGACTCAGACGAACCTTCTCTGCCAGTTTGTTGGTGCTGGTCATGAACTGATTACAAAAAGCAAACAACATTAGCACAATGACATGCAAACACACAGTATAACAGAAGACTAAGGAAGTTGTGATTATTTTGTCTTAACTTTCTGGGGTGAAATTACATCTTAAATCAGTTAAAATTCAATTCAACATGAAACCAGAAAGACTGAGATGCATTTAGTGCCAGCGCTCAGTACTGGACAGGGTACAAATCCCTGCTTGACTAACAATAGGTTTGATACCTTTCTGACCTTTAAAAGGTTTACTAGGGGTCTGCGCCGCTGTCCTGGGTTAAAGCTAACACCTGGTAGAATGACTTTAGTGCTGACTACAGTAACACACTGTCAAGATCAACACTCAGCTCTGTGTGGCCTTTCCAGACGCTCTCTCTGGGACTCACCTCAGCAGGGAGGTCTGTCTGGGAGCTGGCGTCAGAGTAGAGCCGAGGAATGGACAGCTCCGAGTTGGCAAGCGAGGGACTGATGTCCCAGAGCTCCTGCTGGGAGCCTGAGTCCAACTGAAAACCGTCCTTCAACACTGCCAGTTTCTGGATGAACAAAGTAGGCAAACAGGGCTGATGGAGATTATATGAATCACAACATAAAGCATCTGCAGAGAGAAACTGGGACACCGCAGCAGGAAATAATAGGGAGAATAAAAATAGGATCTGACAGAGGAAACGACTTATTAGACAGCTAGAAATATAGAGTGAAATTAAGATGTGATATTCAACAAGCATGTGAATGAATACACCAGCACAGTAGAGCATCAGAATACACCAACAGCATTTTAAATTGCTGCTGTATCAAGAAAGAATGGGGTTTTCTAACTACAGTGTTTCCCATACATTGTCTAATCTGGGTCGGGCCACCACGATATCAACACTGACCACCACATACTGATTTAAAATAGGTTCAATCTTGTTTCAGTGTAGTGCTGTGAGTAGTGCATGTATTCGCTCAGTCCCTCCGTGCGCTGCTCTATTTATCTCTCTCACATACACGAGAACCATGATGACGGACCATCTGTGAATAGCTCTCTGCACAGCCAAATCTCCAAAGTATAAAAACAGTAGGATTATCAGTGGGGGGGGGCAATGTCAGACTTTGAAAAGTCCTGCTGTAGAGAAAGTATGATCTGATCTCAGTGACTTTGACCTTTGCAGTCTAGTCTTATTTAATCATTGCAGAGCTGAAGCTTCTAGGAATCATCTACAGAGTGAAGCTCGCTCTGCTGAGGGCAAAGACCACCTTCACTGTGACACGTGAGACAACACCTCCTGTGTCCGCAGCATGTTCTCCGTGAGTTACGCCACGAGTGGCCCAGCAGCAGTGAAGGTTACTGCAGTGATAATAGCTCTGATGAATGTTTTATATGACTGTGTAACAGTTCTATGACAACAGTAGCGTTATAGTATTTTGATGATGCAGTGTCTCCACTGACTCTGACAAGTCTCAGTGTTTCCTTAGATTAAGTCATGTTTGCGTACAAAGCTATAGATGGCTATTTCACAGACGCCAGAGAGATGTGTTTAAATTTATATCTGAAGATCTTCATTATGCAAAAACTAAGTACTGTGTGCTCATCAGAGATACACTTCCTCTTATGGCTAGAAAACATCTTCACAAAAGCTGATGCCGTTTCCTCTCAGTGAAGTGGCTGCTTGCTGATTTGGAGCTAATGTTCCCATGGAGTCGACATTGAAGGGATGGTCGTCCCACCTCATCATAATGTAATCTAGTTCAGTGCTATCTGTAAGTCTTGGGTTTGAATCTGGGGCAGGATGTGTCATGCTGTCATCACCCTCGCAGTCTTCCCTGTCTCTCTCTCTCAGCTTTGAGCCTTTTAAAATACTGACAAAGTAAGGTAAAGCTTCAATTTACAAGTCACAATTCTCCTAATTATCTTTCCGATAAACTCTATGATAAGCACTGGCTACATGACCCACTGCTGCCCCATAATTTGTAAGTTTTAATTTGGAGGTGACTCAGATTAACCAGCTACCATCTTTATCAGCTCCTCTTTGTGGTGTAAGTGGTAAGAGGACAATGTCAAGAGAGACTTCAAAATCAACCTATAACCAGGAAAGTGAAACTGAAAATTACAGTAATGGAATAAGTAATAACCATTTTTATTCATCAGTGGAGCCTGTTTTAGAAAAAAGGCAGGTCACTTTTATGTTTTGTCACTTGAGTGTCTACAACTGCTCTTAATCATCTAATTGTTTCAGCTATAGTGCACTTCTCTCATCCCTCTGAATTTAACCAGTCATACATTAGGAAGTGCAGTCTTGTGCAAATGACTTGTTTCCATACAACATTTAAACACTCACAGCCATACAAATAAACAGTAGATGCACAGAGACACACACAAACAACCAATGTCACAGACACCCTGACTGAGCCGCAGCTGCAGATGGTAAGAGGGAGGGAGGGGGAAGGAGACAGTGACAGTGCACAGAGCCCAATATGTATTATTGAACACACTTTTCTCCTCTACCTCCAAACCAATACAAGCCAAAAAAAAAAAAAAAAAAATCAGCGGCCAGATGAGCTTGATAAGACACAATATGTTTAAATCTATTCGTACATATGGAGGTGTATGTTGGAATATTGTTAACAATTAGATGCATTTTTCCAACTGGAGTCTAAAATGCTCAAAATGGTGTGAGGACACACGGTGATATGTTGTTTTTCTACATTATCGGCTTAAACTGCTGTGCAGACACAGATGTGCTGTGACTCGATGCACTGTTAGGATGGTGAGACATAAAATATAAAGGATCATTTGTCATGTTTTAACAAGCAAACATAAGCAATAAATGTAGCTGTTTCTAATTATTACAAGAGATTTCATGCTCGTCTCCACTACCCCGATCCCTTCAGACTAGTAATCTGTATGCCTGCAGCCTGTGAGCAGACTACATTTCCCATCATGCAACTTTAATCCACACTACAGCCATGGTGAGTATATGAATGATTTAACACAGCACTGTGAAGCTGGTGGGAGTGCAGGTGAAGGCTGGGACAAACTAGGTGGAAATCTTTGTGTGTCAGCCCCGGATACAGAGGAGGAGAGTTGTTTATTACAGTAAATAAACTGTAGTGGAGAGAAAGAGAGAGGCGTGACAGACAGAGGAATTTAAACTCATCATACTGGGGCTGGACATTTAAAATAACCAAAAACAACAGGATGACTGAATTACATTGGTAGTGTCATTCAAATTCATTGAGGCTACTGCTGAAAGGCAAGGAAAGGTAACTTCATTTATTTTATTCTCAAAGCACAACAAGTGCACAGCTGGTCAGGGTCTCCTGTGTGGGTTCATATCATAGGGCTTCTGCAGACGTCACCAAGTTAAATAGGGACACTGTTGATTAACCAAGACAAATGTGACAATAATTCATGATACTGACTTCAGGTGATATCGCCCAGCGCTGTGTCGTATCCCCAAAAGAGGCTGCATTTAGTCCATTCACTTATAACACACACACACACACACACACACACACACACACACACACACACACCGTCTCCTACAAACCTGATTAAAGCAGTATAATCAGCAGCAGTTATGTACCGCCCAGCCAGCAGGTGCTGCCAAAAAGCAGCTTTCACCAAAAGTGAATCAGTTGTTTCTGAAGTCATATTTGACTTTAAAATTCACTGATAACTCAAATTTTTAAAAAGTGCTAAAACAGCACAAATGTCAAACATGTTTTGGTTCTAGCTTCACTAATGTGAGGATCTGCTGCGTTCCTCGACTTTATATCATAGAAACCTGGATATCATTCAAACTGCTGCAAACATTTCAAGACCTTGACCATTTGCATTGACTTGTCACAACATGGGCATATCGTACTCACCCTGAAACCCCTCAGCCCCCAACCAACGCAGTCCTGTTCGTTAAAACACAGCAGGGAGCTGCGTTTTTGCCAGACTAATGTGAACGTAGCGTGACACCGGGGCTGCTCTGGTTCTGTTATACACTGATATCGCAAGCCAGCTTTCATCTAGACAACAAACTTCATCAGGTTTTAATATTGCGAGACACACCCCTATTCGACAGTTTGTTTGTTTTGCTCAAACTGAGGTGAGCTGTCCAGAGGTTTTCAAATCACTGTCCAGCTGTCCAGAGGTTTTCAAATCATTTCATTCTGTCTACTTCTGGACTGTTTTACAACTGGGGTGCATCTTAAAAACTCACACAGTGCTGTTCTGCAATAAAGTTTCCATGCAGTGTGAAATACAGACTACCTCTTGTGGTTTGATCAGAGATTAAACTTCTACATTTTACAGCGACATTAAATTTTTTCATTTGTCTGTGAAAAGAGGCATTATGACGAGGCCTTTTTGTGATTTCTAACATGATCCACGTGGCTCCTGGGATCAAATATCAGTGTGTGGATTATCTTTCTCCTCTTTCCTTCTTCTTTTGTTTGTCAAAAAGTTGATACTGGAGCTGATCATCATAACATCCTGCCTCCAGCAGCCTTTAAACAAAGTCTTCACACGTTTAACAAATTTGCTTAATCCTTTAAAGTTTAGTTAATGGAAATGAGTAATCAAAAACGGTTGTTCAAGTGGCAGAATGGAGTGAACAATTAGATTCAATTGTACCAGATTTTATTTTTGACTTAATGTTTGATCCAACAGCTCTTTGTGACTGACACATTATTTAACAGATATAAATTCTATAAACTAAACAAACTGCTAATGGGACACAAAGCAGGAGAGGCTGAGATATCCTGACTTTTCCTGACAGTCCCTTGTGTTGGTCAGGTTCCAAAAAACACTGCACATCCTTAAATGCAACTCAGCCCCCTTGCTGCATCTTAAACTCAGCGTATCCAGTTCATAAAGCAGGTTTCCTTTAAAAGTCTTCTGTCTTTACACCCAATCCCAGGTAACCCCGATGATGCCGTTTTCTCAAACCTACATGATACACCACATTTTACCTGCATGAGTTCCTGTTTCTCCTTCTCCCCAGAGCTGATGGCGTCTCGGATGGAGCGGACCTCACTGAGAATGGCCTGCGCCTCCTGCAGCTTGTAGCCATACGGGCTGTTGGACACCTTATGGTCAATCCTGGAGGTCAGGCCAAGGACAACAACAAGGATAGCAGACAGACAGAGGCAGGGAGAGAGAGGGGGAGGTCAGTTTGGATGATGATTTACAACAATGAGAGCAGCAGCAGACTTTCAGCAACAGCCAAGCATCCTATCAAAGTGTCGTCATACCTCATCATTCACTGGTGCTCTGGTCACAAGTGGAAACATCGTCAGTTTCAAGATCTGACTACAAATTAGCTGCTTCTTTAATGTTTACATAAGGAACTGGATCAGCAAAGCATTTGTGCTAATCAGCAAAACTATGAGTCATTTCTGTACAGTTACGCTCGCCCACTGAAACCACATCTTTTTACTGACCAAGCTTCACGAGTTAATAGTAACATCTCATTCAGGGGCACTTTGCCAGTGGATGGTGCAGCAGCATTACTCACTCATGGTCCATACTACTTTGCAACCAAACTGTTCAGTGTTCAACCTCAAACCTGTCAAGCACCAAGACATGGCACATGATAAAAATGTTGTTGTACTCTTATCTACGTATTTGAGGATTTATCTAAATGATGATGCAAGTGATGCTACATTGTGATGATGGTCTGATACAACTGCCTGTGTTTAAACACTGATGCATTCAAAAAACCTGAGCTTCACAAAAAAAAATTAGTTATAATGAAAAAGAAGAACTCCTAGCAAAGTTAATTAGCAAACTAGATTTCATTTTTGTTGCAGAGTTACAGATTGTTTTGATCCTTGTGCTAACATTTTTTACAAGTAATAGGCAGTTTGTCATGTTTCTCAAACTTCTCGGCTTTTCAAAATGTGCCATTGAGCCCAGCAAATATGCCAGGTCTTTGTTTTCCCTTACATCAACCACTACACCAGTTGATGTCACCCCTATCCAGAGGAGATGAGCTAATCAGTGAAATCTGGTGATGTGATGATTGTTTGATATGAAAACCTACAGAAATCAGGATCCAGGCCATCATAGAACCTGCACTTTCGTTAGCTGGCTCCATGCTAAACAGGCTAAATTTGATCTTTTCTTGCTATGTCGGCCTTATATCCACACTAAAATAAATGTGACATGACAGCCTAGTGTTTCAGTCTTGACAGGGTGTGTTGCTGAGTTCAGAGATGACAGACATGATCAGCTAATGTGGCAGAAGCTCGTGTAAAGGCCCAAGTTTCACAGGTCAAATATGTTTTACCATATAACCATCTTAGCGTAGATGTAGTCTTAGTATAGCCTAATCAGTCTGGAGTGAAAGACCAAATGTTTGTTTGACTTCCAGGTAATACACATGAGATCCTGTTTTTGGCTCTGGGCAGACGGGGAAGCCCTGGCTGCAGGGAGAGCAGGCAGAGGAGGTGCTGCAGGCACCAGCCATCAGAGGCAGCAGCAGCTATGTAAACCCTGTCATCGGCAAGTCATGCATGAATCTGAATAACCGGTCCTTCCACATTCTTCAGAGAGGGAAGAGGGGGAGGGAGGCTCTGACAGAAAGAGTGAACGAGAAAGAAAACAAGGTACAGGGAGAATGAGGAAGTGAGGGTGGGAGGCACTTGTCTGTAACACGCAGAGAGACCAAGTAACCTTCTTTGAGTCCTTCTCAAACATGGACACACTGTGTGCTGACTGAAAACAGTGTTAGGAGCCTCTTTATAATTAAAATAACAATGAAAACTTTCCATCGAAACACAGAAAGGAAGAAGTACACTGACATTCCACAGTATATTGTACAGGTACAGCTGGATGAGCTGTGCTTTACAATGACAGACAGCCGTTTTGGTAAACATCAGCCTTTTCTAAGTGTCCTAAACCAAAACCCCAAATCCCTCTGTGGCTGCATGAAGACACTTAACCTCTAAATACTCATAGTTCTAAAACTCACACATCCACTCATGAATTTCTTGCCGCTGAACCTTTCATCCCCGATACTATTTAAGCATCATAATGAACAGTGTGTACGTAGACACTAAATCCCTAAAGATATGGGCCTTTTTAAGTTGATAAGAAGAAAACAGTAGTTTGTTTCTCTAGTGATATGCACTTCCATAAAACTGAGGGACTAGGGAAAAACCAAAATGGCCAATAATCAAGCCCTAAAACAGTGTATACTGCATTTCCTATATTGCAGATCGACAGCATCTTCTGTTAGACTCTCCCACAGTTTTTTTTCCCTAGTACGTAACGCAGACAATCTGTTATATATCAATAGCTGTTGTTGGTACAAAAGTCCAGTCCGACAGACAACCGGATGACCCTATCAGGATTATTTCCTCTGATTTTAAAAAGCTCCTCCAGAGTCCCAGAAGACCTTCAGGTCTGTGCATGGGACCTAAATCCCGGGTTAGTGTGGTGGCAATTTTTATGATAGTACCCTTTTAGTGGTTATTTACCTTGTAATCCATTACTAGATGTATATCACATGGTCGTAAACATTTGCATGCCCTTATGAGAGAAAAACCAGATGTCACCTGAGAGCTGGTATCCCATTAGTAAATAACCTCCTGTTTGAGCATCTGTTTTCTGTTATAATATGCTGGGTATAAGAAGGGCAGTCACATTCTGTTCATTGAGCTTCCCTGTAACTGACTGGTTTAAACACTCTGTTCTGAAAAACCTCCTTCCTGCAGGAATAAATATGTAATAACCTTCAGAACTTACGTTAAGTATTTATTTTACACTCACTGAGCTTTAAAAGATATTTTTTCCACAACAATTCTGGCGAGAGGATGGGATCCCTCGAGTGGTCGTCTAGGACATCCATCAGACAGGGCCTGGCCAGCCTGAGAACAACAACTTTCTCAGCCCCAAATCCATATTTCTGAGTGACCAGGGACTGTCAGAGGACGCCCTGGATCATCACTGACGGGATCCAAGTATACAACATTTGGAAAGAGATTATTCTCTGTGGTGAGTGTTAAATAAATTGGTTAAATATATTGAGAAGAATGTTAAATTAGTAAATTCGGGAAAGCTATTCCGCCATTGTGTTAATAATTGACGATCCCTTGTCTTGTTATGTAGGCATTGTTTTGAATACTGAGGTAGGTATTCCTGAGGGAATACTGAGGTAGGTACTTATCTAAAAGTACTGAGTTAGGTGTACTTAACCGTGATACTGAGTGTAGGTGTCACTTAACCGTGATACTGAGTGTAGGTGTTCTCAATTCGGAGTTTAAGGACACTGAGGTCCTGTTCTGGTCACAAGAAAAGGTAGAAGTGACTGAACCCTAACGGAGACGTCCATAATTATAGTTGTGCACAGCTCCCATCTTGGACAATGGGGAGCAGAACAAGACGATCCTCTGGAGAGTTCAATTATTGACATAATGAGGAGAAAGTA